GATATCGAGTCATATACATTCATCAACGTAATATAAACTATTATATGAAGAAATGAAACCTTTTACAAATAAAACTATTAGATTTGTATAAGAAATATAAAAGTTATGATGATTAATTCCTAGTGACAATATTGAACGTTTCTCTTTTCAGCATCCTTTCTGATAGCCAGTGTCATAACATTCATAGGAACATGGAATGTCCAGACAAAGTGGGAGACCAAAGTAGTCCATCAAATAACATCAGAAATGAGAAGATACAATCTATCTATCAGTCCAATAAGTGAAACCCATTGGATACAGACAAGATAGTAAAGACAAAATTCACAAGAGATATTGTGTTCTGGTCACGCACACACACAAGGAGTTACACTGATGCCACACTAGGAAAGCTAGACTAATCATATATGTACAAACAGAACTTCCGGTGATCCATCGATTACGTAAGTAAAACCAGAAGGTGGCTAATATAGCTTCAGGTTACCACCTTGTAGTAACCAAATCAGACTGAAGCGAAAGGAGCATTGGATAGTTGAATCAGCATCACAACAAAAATTTAATGCGCCCTTTCATCGAGGTTCTAACAAACTCAGCTACTTGAATTTAACTATAAACAAGTTCCAAGTCATACATGATCTAATGGAAGAAGAGCAAACCAAGATGAAGAACTCGAAAGTGACAAGAGAAGCAATAGATTCAATATGCTATGAAGTGCCAGGCTCCAAGAAGCACCGGAACAAAGGATGAATCACTGCCTATAGTCTAAGCAGAAAACAAGAACACATAAATAAGTGGATATCACTTAACAAGAGCAGGGATATTCAAAGCACATGCTGAGCATGCAGAATCAAACGAACGAATGAAGAAGAACATTAGAACTGACAAAAATGTGGATGACCTGACAAGGACAACAGAAAGGCAAAAATGAAAGAACCATATGGAAAAACCAAGAAGCTGGAAAAAAATACAGTAGACAAAAGTGATCAGTTAGAGATAAACAAACAAAACCAATCACTGAGGTTCAACAATAGCAGAACAAATGAATAAATCATTTTGAACAGCTCGTGTATAGACCAGCAACACTGAATCTAACGAACATCTAAGCACCACACGCAGAACACTGAATAGATTTCACCCCACGAACAGTATTAGGAATTAACAAGGTTATCAAACAAATGAGAAATAGTGAGGCAACTGGGTCAGACGGTTTTCGCCAGTTGAAACACCAGAGTCAGATGTAGACGAATTGTGCAAATATGCCCTATGTCCTCTTTAGGAAAATTTTAAGGGGAGAATAAATACCAACGAACTTGAAAGGAAGTACCACACCAGCGTACCCAATGGAAGGTATGGGTAAGTGTGAGAAATACTTAGGGATCACATCTTAATCAGTGCCAGGTAAAGCTTTCAACAGATTGTCACTGAACCTAATGATAAATTCAGTAGATGCTCAACTTTGACATCAACAACATGACTTTCGCAAGGATCGATCATATACCGGTGAACTAACGACCTAGCAAATCAATTGAGTGGAATTTATTACTATATATTTAATTCCTTGCTTATAAGAAAGCATTCATTAGCATACGTTGGAAAGAATTGTGGAATGTTCTTCGACACTACAGTTTACCTGAAAAGATCGTCACTATCACACGGAATCGTTATGAAAGACTGGATTGCAAAATCAGGGTAGGGTAATTAACCGACAAATTCCAAGTGGAGACTAATGTCATGCAAGTTTTCCTAAACTCGTCTTTTAACTTAGTATAGGCTTCCTTCACCTCATTATTATAGACGTTCCTACAATTTGTCATTTAACTTAGTTTCTTTCTAGATCTCATTCATGATAATTACTAATTTTATGGAAATTTCGGGGTTGCCCACAAAATCATAATTAATAAATCCACTGAAGAGCTAGGGAAATAAAGCTCTGGGTTGGCAATGTGGAGCGGTTAGGCAGAGAAATTGTGGTCCAATTCAGTATTTTTGTGTCACTTGAAAAAACTGCAAAGGATTGACGAGGACTAAGTTCAGTGGGAAAAGCGGATGGGCGAGCTATGCTCCTCCACAAAAGGTAACAGGCGTAAGTAAGTAGAATCGGAATTTCAACAAAAATTTTCATGTGATAAAACAAAACTCATTTCGTATGAAAAACACTGATCGTTTTCTCGATTCTGATTAGCTCTTCACTACAGCATATTTACACGTTATTACTAGGGGCGATAATTTATAGGCTGCCCAATTTGATTGTGGAAGGTTCATCAGCAAACTGAAAAAATACTCAAACACCACAAATTTTCGATGAATAGGTCTTTTTTTCCTTTCTGTACTTCACAGACTTTCATGTGAAGGAAATGTCAATAATTTAAGTATTAAATTTAGTCTCCATCAACTTTTTACATGAATTAGCTACCGGCGAGACTATAACAGAACTCGGATTTTGGTGCGAAATTCACTCATCCATTCGGCTAAATAGAGTTTTAGCATTATAGTTTATGTCCGTACGTGTTGAAAACCCTAAATCTTATTCCCAACCATAATTATCAAATGTAAATCATAATTCTAATTCTTCACACAGGTTTATAACCGTCATTTGATCCTGGTTATTAGATAGACACTGTCAAGTTCAGTATGGTGTCGTTCAAAAGTCGTCCATAAATTATAGTCTCACTTAGCTACCCTAAAACTGTATATTCAATTTTCCTTCATATATATATAAGATATAAAGTTTTACTGATAATTGTCAGTCACTATAACGATAACGCCAATGAATTACAGATACAACCAATTATTATTGTTGATTGTCAAATATTATTCACTTTTATCTTTCTATTTAAATACTGTCTATTCAATTACAATCTAGTTTCTGTCACTAATTCATATCAGCTGGTTAATAATTGAAAATCTAGGTGTTAAATCTATGTAAATGACAATATTCATTTAGATGGTGGTTGGAGGTAGTCAACAGGAAACCCTGGACTCGGGTTTCGTGCTACTTGGCACTCGTCAACAAGGTGTATCTGTAATCTTGAGGGAACTGGTGCTCCCTGGCGGATTCGATCTCGTGTCACCCAGCTTCACAGTCAGAGACGTTACCACTGAGCTATCCGAGCCGTGACCAACCTCCTGTAGGACTGAGATGTAATTACAATTGATTGATCACTGGGTGGTGGTGATCAATGTCTTGCTTGTCTAGTCCTTATTAGTGCAGATCGAATGCTATCGATCATGTTGCAATGTGGCACCTAGACTGGTGGCCACATTGCAACATGATCGATAGCATTCGATCTGCACTAATGAGGACTAGACAAGCAAGACATTGATCACCACCCAGTGATCAATCAATTGTAATGACAATATTCATCATACAACTATTGTGATTTAAATGCAGTTAGATAAATGGACTATTATTTTCAGTGTTTTTGAATTATGCAAGATGAAAAAATTGAATCTTCTTGGTTCTTTCTGGTTTATAGTTGAAGATATAAACTGATAACCTGTTCAATGTTAGAATAAAGCCGAGATTCAATATTGGCTAATTTTTAGTGGTTCACTAGGTAAGAATGAAACCAAATATTCAGAAACTTTCATGCCACTAACAGTTTATTTAATTAGTTATTTCAAATAATGCATGTGTAGTTGTTTAACCAAATATGATCGTGGAACATTAGATCAGTCTTATGTTCTTTATATGAAATTCTGCAGTATCTAGTACCTTTAATATGGTCTAAAATCATAAAGCCAATAATTGAATCTAATGTTAACCTCATCTTCAACAAGTGTGAAATAAAGGAGAGAATTCCATTTGAAAGCTTTATATCCATGAAGAAAAAAGTGATTAAATGAATTGATTAGTTTATATGTTACGTCTTGACACTTGATTGAATTTAGCTTATGATAACTGTTATTATGTGCGACTGGAATCTACCAAGAACTTGATCAAGCAGCAACTGATTCACATAACTCTTCAATGATTGTTTCTTTACAGTCAGTCTATGATGTCGATTAAAGTTAGATCTGCTATTGTCAATGATGATTCGCTTACTTTTAATAGATAATTGGAAGAGTTTGGAATTTCAAATTTTGAAGTTAGTAAATAAGTTTGTTTATGAGGTGTACAGTATAGTATGTAGACATACCAGGTCCATCTAGATATAAGGTTAATTATAATGGCGGACATATATGTACACTCATTATATATATATATATATATATATATAGATGAGAGAAATATTAGAAAAAATTTACCTACTAACCCTATTTCCTCATTTTCACCAGTTTTATTCACATTCACTTAAGCATACAAACAAATATCTAAAGTTATATGATACAAAACACTCCATTGTGTGTGTGTGTATGTACGTCTATGCCTATATGTGAGCATTAAAGAACATTGTATATCTGTGAAAGGATGAATATATATATGTAACGGGAGGCATATTTGTATGAGGGTTCATTGAGGATGAGACTTTCAGACAGGGATGAGCTTTTTCTCCAGGAGACAGAAAATACGAAAAAATTACTGATTGTAAAATTTTCTGCCACATGTATATATATATCTCCTATATACATCGAAGATAATTTTCACCTACGCACATCAAAATTATCATATCTTAAGATGAGTTGATATCCTATGTCTCAGTAGTATCCATATATATATCTACATGCATACATATAAGTAAAGACCGATAGACAGGTGTGGTATTACGTTACATTACAAGTTCTATAACTATTCCTATTCACACACACTTACACACTTACACACATATATATACACATAGATACAAAGAAGAGAATTCTGACAGGGACGTATGAATGAATAAGATCAAGACTTTTGTAAAATTAATTTTTTTTTTGGAATCAGCTAGAACATTTCCCTTCACTAAACGAGATGCGTATATAAACATAAATATATATATATAGGCAATGATTGCTCTCACTACACCCTTATTTTCAATCCCAGTTTATCGCTTAATTTAACTACTTAGTATTTTTTTAAAAAAGGAGACTATTTTACTCAAACCCAATTCTTGAGATCAGATTCTTTTTTTATTCAAATCTGGAAATCATAATTATGAATAAAACATTGACCTAAATGTAAGTCAACAATTCATATTTATTGTGAGTAGTATCTATAGTGTGGTATTAAGTAGTATATATATATGTAGTATACCACTAAATCTTAAGTTTTATTTGTTATATTATTGATAAATATTAAAATCTTATCATTCTTGATCAACTTTAAAAATCAATGTTGTATTATTCAATCCAAAGACCTCATTAAAGATTTTTCACTGTTAAGTTTTTACTGTTGCCAATGATGCTATTATGATTCATTTTGTTCAATGATTAGAAGCAAATCACCAAAAAACCTCAAACTTTAGTCAATATACTTGATTCCATCTATAAGGTAATACTAGTATGAGAATATTATAAAATGTATACACTTTAAATGGTGAATACACTTTCGTGATAACTATTCAAGTAATTAAGTATCTAAATCAAAGATTCCCAGCCAATTGGAGTGTGGCCCCCTAAGAAAACCACCTGTTTCTGTTTGGGCACCCGGGCAGTATCACAGCCCTCACACATATCGAATGAGATTTGTGTGGTGCATATGTATTTGGTGCCTCTTTGTACCAATATCTATGTGAATTGGTTGAAATTAGACATTAACACTGTTGGATGCCGTCTCAGTGGTCTAACGGTTAAGTGCTCGCGCGCGAAGCCAGTAGGTCCTGGGTTCGGGCTCCGCGTGATGCGGGATCGTGGATGCGCACCGCTGAGGAGTCCCATACTAGGACGAAACGGTCGTCCAGTGCTTCTAGGTTTTCAATGGTGGTCTGGCTTCAACTGACTCATGATTTCAATCTGTGACAATATCTATGTGTTGAAATAAATAAATAAATAAATAAATAAAGCCAATCATCTTCATCTATTCAATAATAAAATATACTTTCAAACAATAGTAGTTGACCACTAAAGAGAAAAATGCTCACAATGTATAGTTTTAATGTTTAGATTTATTAAGTTTTAAAGTTACATAGAGCACCAGTTTGTTTATTATTTTGTGTTCATTTGGTAACTGAAGATAATTTCGTCAAAATAAAAAAACTTTTTTTTTGCATGAACTACATTATGTAATGTGTAAATCAAGTGAAGTTATTCAACTTCTTAAGGATCATAACCATATAGTAATATCAATGTCATCTTCATCTGACACTGATTGACTTCTGTTGATAACTACAATACCGTGTCTAAAACTATGAAAATGTTTTAAACATGGTGATAATTGTTTATGTTAGGTTAAACTTGATTACATTGTTCTTATACAGACAATATACTTTCGCTTGGCCACCCCTTTAGAGTCATTTTCATCCTATAAATGATAAATGGTCAATATTCTCTTTTTCCTCAATTATTTATATCAATCAATCTTTTAGAGTATTTTTCACAATTAGTACAACTCTAATTGTTTCTTTTTTTAAAGACAATATGATTGTCTTATAAAGCATCAATACTTTTGGTGGAGTTCAGTTCTCTGAGCTGGATGGTTTAGTCGTGGAGCTTTCATCGTTCTTCTGAACGACATCATCAGCACAAACTTCAAATAGAAGTGAAGTGTTCGAATTTCTCCATATGTGTTTCACAGCTTGTTCTGTTCATGCATAAATATAGGAACAAAAATCAAACCAATGGCAGACACAACCAAAACAAAGAAGTAAACAATGATAAATTTAAGGTCAACAAGAACCAATCAACATCGAGGTGCACAGAACAAACTGTGAAACACACATGGAGAAATTCGAACACTTCACTTCTATCTGAAGTTTGTGCTGATGATGTCGTTCAGAAGAACGATGAAAGCTCCACGACCAAACCATCCAGCTCAGAGAACTAAACTCCACCAAAATCATCCACGTGAGCTACAAATCTTCTCCACCATCGCAAAAGCATTAATACTACTGATAAATACTTGAATTGCTGACCCTGAAATGTATCATAAACACAGTAATTTATCCAGAAATTTAGTAAGAAACGAAAGTTGTACAGATGACAAATAAAGTTGTTTAGTAAACATATAGAAATATACGAACTCAAGACCTATTGGTCTCACATGCGAACGCTTAATCTCCAGACCATCAAGCTGTCATCCAATGGTGTTAATGTCTATTGAAGTGTTCCACATTAAGACAAAATAACCATTCATTAATATCTTGTAATATGTATATCATTTACACATATGACCAATTAGCTGACATTGACAATTACAATGAACAACATTTATGTGATATTATTTCTTATTGAAAAGTATCTATTTTACCATTACACATGAATTCGTGTTTAAATAACTCAAATGAAAACGAAACACGTTTTCAAAAAATATTGATTTATGTTGTTTTTCAGAGATTTTGTATCAGTCCCCTAAATCTTAATCTTGTTATTTTAGATTAGGAGTTTCACTGAATAGATCTACATTATATTCGTTGTAAAGATTTATATTAGGGTATACCTTTCCAGAGAAGGGGCTTTGATTTTTCATTTCAATTACAAGCTTTCAGTACATTTAATTATAGGATCTCTTCGTTCTTTTCGAAACTATTAGATTAGATATACATTTATCCTAGTTATTTAGTAACACTCTAATACAGCACCCATTTACTAAAATCGATTTTGCTACCAACTTGTTTAAAATTTTGAAGTTACTTGTAAAAATCAGTATTTTCGGTGATCGATATTCATACTATTCATAGATACTATAATATCAATATTTAAAGAATTTCATAAGTTTCACTGAAATCAAAATCAAATTCACCTTATTATTTTAGAAATATTTTACTTTATAATCTGTATACAAATCACTGAGTGAATATACTTTGATTCTATTTTAAGACTCTTAACCAATGTTCATCACTGGTGGCTAGCTTTGTTAGGGAATTCTCGGAGTTCTAGTGAGAAGCCGTGACCAGTGGAACTAATCCGTTTCGGGTAGAGACAATTTCGTGGATTGGTTGGAATTAGACATTAACACCACTGGATGCTGACTCAGTGGTGTAGAGGTTGAGCGTTCGCGTGCGAGACTGATAGGTCCTGGCTTCGAATCTCGCGAGCGAGATTGTGGATGCTCACTGCTGAGAAGCCCCACGATAGGACAAAAAAACAGCCATTCAGCGCCTCCAGGATTTTAATGATGGTCTAACATCAATCGATTCATGATTTTAACCAAAAAAACATTTGCTAAGCGTTTCTTCTTTTCTAATGGTTCTTCAGTTGATGTCTGTACACGCTGAAAGATCATTTTTCATGTAACACAAATCTCTTTATCAAATATCATGGAGAATATAGTAACTGTATTCACTTGAATAACTAAACAAACAAAGTTGGTTGTTATTTTGTAAAAGAGTTTTATTTTCCTGAAAATTCTCAGTAATTAAAGTTTAACAATGCTAACACTTAACAATCACCAGGTCAGACTAATTTATCATGTAAATATTCACAAAAAATGTTAACATAATTTCATGAATTTCAGAATGGGTTTTTGTGGATATTATAATAATTTCAATAGTTGAGATCATGAGTCAATTGAAGTTAGACCACCATGGAAAATCTGGGATGCGCTAGACGTCCGCTTCGTTCTATTGTGTGACTCCTCAGCAGTGCGCATTCACGATCTCGCCTTGCGAGATTCGAACTCAGGATTTATCAGTCTCGCACGTGAACACTTCATCACTAGACAGCTGTCCAGTGCTTCCAGGTTTTCCTTGGTGGTCTGTCTTCGATTGACTCATGATTTCAACTAATAGAAATTAGTGTTCATGTATTCACTACGATAGTGAATAAAATAACGTTTTGTGAGTTTTGGAATTATAACATTATTTCTGACAATTTCTGATCATTTCATTAATCGTTCTTAGTTGTTTAAGGAATGAATAATAATAAGGCTAGAACAAAATAGGGTTGTTTTTTGTAAATTCAGAAAATTTTTAACAAGTATCTCTACTGAATATCAACATACATCTATAAATTAATTAGATTACCAAAACATTTGGATCCAGATTGTGAATATCAACACTAAATAAAACAATTAATTATTACTTCATCCTTGTAAATGATTCTGATTCAATGAATTCCATCTCTATATTATACATCCTTCTTTGTTAAGATGGATTGAACTTGTTGAATCATGTCAACATTGATGAAGTAATCCAGAACGAATTAGATGATACAGCTTCTTCAACAATAAAACTGATTTCCATGTAAAGAATAATTTCATTATTAGACCAAAACGGTTTATCGTATTTAATGAAAAAGAAAATAGAGATTAAATTAGAACACACAATAACAGTATGATATTTGGTTCCTCAGACATAACGATAAACACCGGAGTCAAGAATGTTAAGTATATATAGTGTTTAATATCATGTCTTATGTCTCCCGGATTTTTTAGTATTATATCCAGTAATATTCCTTTCAAAATGAAGATGTTTAGAACCTTTAAATTATAAGTCTGTGATTCTTTATACCTTGAAAATGATGATGATGATGATGATGATGATGATGATGATGATGATGATGATGATGATGATGATGATGATGATGATGATGATGATGATGATGATGATGATGATGATGATGATGATGATGATGATGATGATGATGATGATGATGATGATGATGATGATGATGATGATGATGATGATGATGATGATGATGATGATGATGATGATGATGATGATGATGATGATGATGATGATGATGATGATGATGATGATGATGATGATGATGATGATGATGATGATGATGATGATGATGATGATGATGATGATGATGATGATGATGATGATGATGATGATGATGATGATGATGATGATGATGATGATGATGATGATGATGATGATGATGATGATGATGATGATGATGATGATGATGATGATGATGATGATGATGATGATGATGATGATGATGATGATGATGATGATGATGATGATGATGATGATGATGATGATGATGATGATGATGATGATGATGATGATGATGATGATGATGATGATGATGATGATGATGATGATGATGATGATGATGATGATGATGTTTTCTTACTTTAAACGTTTTCCAGTTTCAACTAATCAATGATCTAAAATCACTGTAAAACGTAGATGCAATAATTTTGAAGATAATACAATGTAAGATAATTCGAAACAACATATAGAAGTTATAATTTTCATATATGGGGCATTTGTGATGGTCTGAGGTAAAAATGATTGCTAAGGAAATCAGCATTTGAACAGTTTCACAACTATAAGAAATGATCATTGGCTTTGAATTGTTTTTTAATAGCCAGAAATTAATATACAGGTTATTCAAGACGTTACTCTTTGGCCCTAACAAACACTTGATCGGTCAAGCAAATAATGTATTCCGTCGACTCAAATACCCAAAGTTGCTTATTGTGAACCTGGATTTTTAATTATTGGTAGGCTAAGTCTCACATACAGTGTACGCTGTTTGTAAAAAAATAAACCATCTAATTGGGACAAGTGCAAAATTAATATTGTTATTATTATTAAACTGTCCTACAGTCAGTTCGCACAGAAAATCAGTTTCTATTTATTATCCTAATACCCATTTAACTTAACAATTGTTGCTTTTTTTAAATGGTAAGCTGACTACAGAAGACTGAGTGATAATAACGATCTAGGATGAATGTTTTATCCTATTTGAGACTATTCAGCTACATCTACCCGATTCCCAATGTTGATTCTCAAACATTCAGATTCAGAACTAGTACTAGTTACTTTAACCACTTGTATAATCAGTTAGAATTTACATAAAACATCAAAGTATTTTCTGAAAAAACCATATATGATAACAGAGAAATTGATTAATAAGAGTCCTGAAAGTCTATAACTAGAAAATTCAAAATCTTATGAATAACACACCCATCAAGCAAGTTGTATGATTGTCTAATGATTTAGTGGCATGTGAAACAAAAATAGTCAACGATCTCTACAACTGTATGCTTTCAATCGCCATGTACTCACTTGTGACTAGTTTCGTGAAGAGATTCTCTGAGTTCTATTGTGAAGCCTTGATTAATAGAGTCCGACTGTGTCAAATAGTTATCCATCGAAGACAGCAAAAAATCGTCGCACAATATTGTGGATTGTTTGAAGTTAAACATTAACACCGTTAGGTGCCGACTCAGTGATCCAGAGGTTGAGCGTTTGTGTGATACTGAAGGTCCGGGGTTTCATTCACTTGTGTGATCTATAGGACAAGCTGTGACCTACATGTGAAGAAATTTGAACGCTTCACTTCTACCTTAAGTTTGTGCTGATGATGTCGTTCAGAAAAAAGATGAAAGCCCCATGACCAACCCATCCAGCTCGGAGAACAAAACTCTATCAAAATCATCCACCTGAGCTACAAATCTTCTCCAACATCTCAAGGGCTGAGTTTGTATGCAACATTCAACATATCAGATGAACAATACATCAAATTTAAATGTTAAAATGGAATCCCTAGAGAATATTCTACTTCAATTCGCGATATTTACTCGGTGAAGAAATAGAAAACAAAACTGAATTAGGCCGATGGATACAACAACAGTAGAAAGTTTGCTGATAACAGTCTTAAAACTTGGGATTACTCTATCAATTCTGAGAAAAAAAACTAGTCTGTTTTTCTGATTCTGACCACCTCAGAAGAAATAACTCACTATTTTCTACTGCTACTACTACTAGTACTTCTATGTTCTGTTCATTTGAAATTCAATGTATACTTTTCAGTGACATAACATCTTCAGTATAGAGTTTTGAAGATTATTATGTTGTTAAGATCATGAATCGATTGATGTTAGACCATCATTGAAAACCTGAAAGCACTGGACAGCCGTTTTGTCCTATCTTATCTTTTTATTACATTTAACACATCATTCTTGAACACCAAATATTTGTGATCGCAACTTAAATAATTACTTCAATTAATGGTTGCTCTGGTTGTCAGAAAGGGCATCAGCATCGTGACTTCCGAAGGAACTCAGCTTTCACGACTCTTCTAAATGAAGATCTAGCTCACAAGGCAGAGTTAAAATGGTTTGAATTATTTTTTCTGCAGGATGGAGTCGCTAATCCCATGTCCAACCCTCCTCCTTTATCCGGGATCGGGACCGTCAGTGGCCTACGAGGGGCTTCGGGAGGAGTTAAAACTTAAACAAAACAGTAATAATTTCCAGGTGTAAATAAAAAAATTCAACGTTGAATACCATCATAAATCGAATCTTGAAAATATGTGATTCCATTTGAATTCAACATCATATTTACTGGTTGACAACAAATAACTAAATAGAAACAAACGCCAGATTCTGTATGAAAAATAGTGGCAATTTGTTCCCTTTTAAGACTGTATATTATTCAGTAATTGGGAAGATGTTTAATGTTCGTTTCATTTAATTTCAACTATGACGTGTCTTATTGTTACTAAAAGTCAAATTAAAATGTGAAAAATTCAAATGAACAAATGTTAATACTCCAATGTTTGTGTATATAACATTTTTGACAACTCTGAACTGGTTGAGGTTAGACATTAACACCGTTGGAAGCCGATTCAGTGGTCCGAGATCAAAGGCCTTGAGTTCGAATCTCGCGAGCTGGATCATGGATACACACTACTGAGTAATCCCACAATAGGATGAAACGGCAATTCAATGGTTCCAGGTTTTCATTGGTGGTCTAACATCAATCGGTTCATGATCTCAGTCAAAATATCCTGTGAAAGATAAATCACATCAATTAAATACACCTTCTTATTATTTGCAGTAAACATAATCCGTTTTAATTAGTATATTAGCTATTAGCTAAATTTCATCTTTATCAACTGCTCATGTTTAGTGTATATTTGGGAGACGGGTTTGTTTTTAAATCACTGTTATCTACTAAGAAGAGAATATTTTCAAATGACTAAAAAAAATAAGACGATTTTCAAAGTGCCGTTTATTAGTACCCATGATATATATAGTTCAATCCACATTGTTTCATTTCCCTTAGATACTAAGTAAACTTTGAACTAATCAATTTAATAAGGAAACATTAAAAAGGAAAACTTTTCTAATACTGTTATCACTAAAGTAATCTGCTCTTTTGAATTGAAGTAAAAATACAAAAAAATTCACGATCAATAAACTAAGTTATTTTAGTAATTATCACTTATACCAAACATGTAAACATTCATTTTTACTAGTAGCAAATTCGAATATAATTTCAACAGTCGAGATCATGAGTCTATTGAAGATAGACTACCACGGAAAACCTCGAAACACTGGGCAGTCGTTTTGTCCTGTGCGGGACTCTTCAGCAGTGTCCATCCACAATTCCGCCTCATGAGATTCGAACCCGAGACCTATCAGCCACGCGCACGATAGCTTAACCTCTAGACCACTGAGCTGACCGGCATCCAACAGTGTCAATGTCTAACTTCAACCCATACACGAAATTGAGAAACACGTCTACTATTGTTTTCAGGGAGTTACTATTTCATAGCTGACCAGGTTGAACTCCACTGATCACTACTTTTCACTAGAACTCCAGAATATACCTCTTGAGCATATATTGATTGGTATCAGAAGAACGAAACGGTCGTCCAGTGCTTCCAGGTTTTCCATGGTGGTCTAGCTTCAATTGACTCATGATCTCAACTATTAAGAATACTTATTACTTACATATCAACAAGATCAACGTTTAATAATTTCAGTTAATCTACTCTTCGATTCATGTCATATATTTTAATTGGTTAGTTGTACAAAATATTAACATCATCTACTTAATTATTACCCAATCCTGAATGTTACTTCTATGATTCTCAATCAAGTAATTCCCAGGCATATTTATTTTATTTATTTAAACACTTAAACATAGATACAAGAACGCACCAAACAGATAAGTGCTACATAAATTATTCGATTTGTGTGAGGGCTGGCATATTGCCCGAATGCCCAAACCGAAGAAGGTGCTTTCCTTAAGGGGCCATATCCGGAGCCTTCGACCTAAAGGTCTAATCAACAAGGCAGTGAGGCAAAGTTGGTAGATGCAGTCCCATGGAAGCCGGTGACCAACAACTGGTTCATACGCCATTTGTTCCCTCAGAAAACTGAGCCTATGTGCATTATTGGTCTCACATCAGGGTTTTCCAACCCCCGTATGTGGATCCTCCTTATCCACCAACCTGGTTAAAGATTCGAACATTCGCTTTTCATCCTGTTAATTTCGTAAGCAACACCCCTGTCGCGAAAAAACAGTGAGTAAAACTTCCCTGACAGTGGTTGTATGCACGTTTCCATGTGAGAGTATTTCGAGAGGAAGAGCTGACTCTCCTCACTCTCTGCCGTGCCAGGACATTTGGGGGCATAACTTTTATATAGTTAAGTTTTAAAAGATTTGTCAATATATTTATTTAAAATAATGATAATTATTTTCAATGTAATATTTATACCATTTTGGAAAACCAGGCTTCACAGATACATCAATTTGTTCTCTTGCTCATATTCACACAACCATAATTATCTATCATATCAGTTAAATGTAAAGAAAAAAAGAAAAGAACCCCCGATAAATTTGACAATTGGACATTAGAATATTTTATAGACAGATTTGAAATTTGATTTATCCATATCTTATCTGAATGCTAAATGTATACAATTGATTAGAATGAAATATAATCATTCCACTATTTCCCCTTTATAGTCTTGAGTAATTTGATTAGACTAAATTAGTGATGGGGTGATTTTTGACATCAATCATATCATTCAGTAAGTACTGATCATTAATAAATATGTATATGTATATGTGTATATGCTATTTGTTACGCTGTTTAATCATTACCCAACACGCATACAGACTATATATATAAATATATACTGAATTCCAAGTTTCGTCACATTTCCTCTTGCTTGGGAGGTATTTAGATGTAAATTCTTTAGTGAAAATTCTTATCAGGCATATGATACAGAAATTATTCTATTGATATATAGATTTATAAACTATAACTACTCATCAGCCGTTTAGACGGAACCGGATATTGGTTGAAGCACATATTTATTTGCACAAAGTCA